GTCAGAGAGGTCTTTTCCTGTTTTCTCCTCTAGGGTTTTGATGGTTTCTTGTCTCACATTCAGGTCCTTTATCCATTTTGAGTTTATTTTTGTGAATGGTGTGAGAAAGTGGTCTAGTTTCAGTCTTCTGCATGTTGCTGTCCAGTTCTCCCAGCACCATTTGTTAAAGAGATTGTCTTTTTTCCATTGGATATTCTTTCCTGCTTTGTCAAAGATTAGTTGGCCATACTTTTGTGGGTCTAGTTCTGGGGTTTCTATTCTATTCCATTGGTCTATGTGTCTGTTTTAGTGCCAATACCATGCTGTCTTGATGATTACAGCTTTGTAGTAGATCCTGCCTTTTTTAAAAGTGTTTATTTATAATTGAGAGAGAGCTAGAGAGCAAGCAGGGGAGGGGCTGAGAGGGAGGGAGACACAGAATCCCAAGCAGGCTCCACACTGTCAGTGCAGAGCCCGACGTGGGGCTTAAACTCACGAACTGTGAGATCATGACCTGAGCTGAAATCAAGAGTCGGACCCTTAGCTGACAGAGTCACCCAGGTGCCCTGCTATACCTGCTTTCTTGGCCCCACCTAGCTCTTACCCCAAAAAGGTTTGTTGAATGAATGAAAGAATAAAAAGTTGGGCAGTGGAGAGGAAGAGAGTAAGACTGGTGGTGGGGAGAAGTGTGTGTAGAATCTGGGAGTAGACAGGCTAAAATGGGGGATTGAATGAGCTGCCAGACCCCATTTGAAAGAAATGATTTGACTTATTGCATTTAAAAATATTTATTGGCTTCTGTTTGCTACTTGCCTGGTTATGTTTAGGGTCATTTGGGATCAGCTAAGAAACTGAGGTTTCCAGGTTTCTTTCAGGTAATTAAGGTTAAGCCCAGGGAATGGGTGTGCGTTGGGCGGGGATCGGTAGGGCACAGGAAAAGACTAAGAAGAGAAGAGGGCACTAGAGAGAACAGTAATCTTGGAGAAAATGCTTTGTGAAAACACGAGTGGGGACAAGGAGGCGGAGCTGCAAGTGGGAGAACATCGTCTAGGTGCACTCACTGCCTTCTGGACTGAGACAGTTGCATTGGGAGAGTGGGCCTTCAGGGCTCCTATAAAGGCAGAGCAAAGCTTTCCAGCTGACATCGTGTGAGAAATTGCTGGCAGGCTCTGGAGTGCTTGTTTGGTTTCCTGTGGTGCCTTTGGTGCCCTAGGGTTAAAATAAAGACTAATGTTAAAAACATGTAAAAAATTTAATTTTTTTCTCAAAAAAATTTTTAATATTTGTTTAATTTTGAGAGAGAGAGAGAGAGAGAGAGAGAGAGACAGAGCATGAGTGGGGAAGGGACAGAGAGAGAGGAAGACACAGAGTCTGAATCAGGCTCCAGGTTCTGAGTTGTCAGCACAGAGCCTGATGTGGGGCTTGAACTCACGAACTGTGAGATCATGACCTGAGCCTAAGCTGAATGCTTAACTGACTGAGCCACCCAAGCGCCCCTTAAAAATTTAATTTTTATGAAAGATTTAAAAATTTTTTTTTTTTTCAACGTTTATTTATTTTTGGGACAGAGAGACAGAGCATGAACGGGGGAGGGGCAGAGAGAGAGGGAGACACAGAATCGGAAACAGGCTCCAGGCTCCGAGCCATCAGCCCAGAGCCCGACGCGGGGCTCGAACTCACGGACCGCGAGATCGTGACCTGGCTGAAGTCGGATGCTTAACCGACTGCGCCACCCAGGCGCCCCAGAAAGATTTTAAAATGATATAAAAGTGATACTAATCCAATGGAAAACATTAAAATAAAAAAAAATTAAAATTGAAAATAAAAAATATATATCCTTCACTCCCCATTCCCCAGAGCTAACTATTGTTAATAGTTGGCTATATAGCCTTCCATATCTTTTTGTATGTAAACATAGTAGTTTACTTTAAAAAACAAAAAGGAGGGGTGCCTGAGTGGCTCAGTAGGTTAAGCTCCTTGTCTGGCTCTGTGCTGACCATGCCGAGACTACTTGGGATTCTCTGTTTCTCTCTCTCTCTCTCTCTCATGTTCGGGCTCTCTCTCAAAAATAAATAAAACATTAAAAACAAAACAAAAACCAAACAAATGAGAAAAACCCAAAAATGAGATTAGGCTATACATATTGCTTTGCTCTGCACCTTTAACAAATCATATGTTATTGCAAAATGTTATATATACACATCAATACAAATCCATAAAAACTTACATGTGCAGTTTATTGTTTAAAATTTCTTTGATTTTTCTTTTTTTTAAATTTTTATTTATTTTGAGAGAGAGAAATAGAGAGCAAGTATGGGAGGGGCAGAGAGAGTGGGAGACAGAATCCCAAGAAGGCTCCATGCTCTTAGTGTAAGCCTGACATGGGGCTCGAACCCATGAATGGTGAGATCATGACCTGAGCCCAAGTCAAGAGTCAGACGCTTAACCAACTGAGCTACCCAGGTGCCCCATACGTGCAGTTGAATTAATAGTTCTAAAGCAGATATCCATGAAACTGCTATCTAGGCCTAAGAAATAGAGTAGAAATAGAATATTGCCAGCAATACCCCTCCTTTTCTAATCTCTATCCTCCTTTTCCCCCTCACAGAGGTAATCCTGACTTTTATAGTAAACACTTACTTTCTTTTTTGTTTTACTGCCTAATTATGTATTCCTAAATAATTCTGTTTAATTTTGCCTATTTTTTTAAACATTTTTAAAAAATTTATTTTTGGGAGACAGAGAGAGACAGAGTGTGAGCAGGGGAGGGGCAGAGAGAGAGGGAGACACAGAATCTGAAGCAGGCTCCAGGCTCTGAGCTGTCAGCACAGAGCCTGACGCGGGGCTTGAACCCACGAATCATGAGATCATGACCTGAGTTGAAGTCTTGTGTCTTTTTAAAAAATTTTTCACTCAATGTTGCATTTGTAAGATTCATTTACATTGTTATGTGTTCATTTTCACTGATATATGATATTTGAATATACCACCATTTATTTGTTGGTCAGTTTCTTTTTTTTTTTTTAAGTAGGCTTCACACCCGGTGTGACGCCCAACGCGGGATTGAACTCAAAACCTTGAGATCAAGACCTGAGCTCAGATCAAGAGTCGGAAGCTTAACCAACTGAGCCACCCAGACGCCCCCATTGGTTAGTTTTTGGTTTGGGGTAGTTATGAGCAATGCTACTATGAAATTCTTGTACATATATCCTGGTGTATATAAGAATACATTCCTTTTGGGGCGCCTGGGTGGCTCAGTCAGTTAAGTATCTGACTTCGGCTCAGGTCATGATCTCACAGTTTGTGGGTTCGAGCCCCACATCGGGCTCTGTGCTGACAGCTCAGAGCCTGGAGCCTGTTGGATTCTGTGTCTCATTCTCTCTCTGCCCCTCCCCCACTTGTGCTCTCTTTCTGTGTCTCAAAAATAAATAAATGTAAAAAAAAATTGAAAAGAAAAAGAGTACATTCCTTTTGAGCATATACCTAGGAGTGGAATTTCTTGGTCAAAGAACTTAAACTTTAGTAGATAACTGCCAGCACTTTTTCAAAGTGATTTATCAATTAATCATTCCCATTAGCAGGATATGAGAATTTCTCTGTCCTACTCTTTGCCAATACTTGGTATTGTAGGACTTTAAAATTTTTGCCAATCTGATGATGTATAGTGACATCTGTTTGGTTTTAATTTGCATTTTTCCAATTACCAGATTTCCCTGTCTCTGAAATGCCTATTCAAATATTTTGCCTATTTTTCTGTAGTGTTGCCTGACTTCCTTTCCTTGGTCTGTCAGAATTCTTTATATATTCTGCATATTAATCCCTTTGTCAGTTTTATATGCTGCAGATATTGTCTACTTTTAGATTGTCATTTCATTCTTTTGATGACCAGAATTTCTTAATTTCAGTGAAATCAGATTTATTGATCCTTTCTTTTATGGCTTATCCTTTCATACCCCAAGATCATGAATATATTCTCTCATATTCCCTTGTAAATTTGCTACTGAAATTTATATCTTTAATGTACTTAAAACTTATTTTCGTGAAGCATGTGAAGTAGGGAATATCTCTTTTTCACTTTATATATATTGTGGTTATCTTTCTGATCAACACATAACAATTTAACTCATTGTTTTTGACAACTACTGAATTGCCCAGTTTTCTTTTGATGAATATTTTTTATTTCCATCAGTTTGTCAATACAAATACTGCTCTAATTAATATTGTGTGTATATCTTTGAGTATCCATGCTAGTATTCTATGCTGGAGATTTCTTGAAGTGAGATTACTGGGTTAAAAGGTACACACATTTCAATTTTTGGTAGATACTACCAAGTTGTATTTGACTTTTACCTGCAGTGATAAGGATGCTGATTTCTCTCATTCTTAATAATATCATAATACTAATCAGTTTAATTCGCTAATTTACTTTTAATATGACATTTAAAAACTGCTCAAGGGAGGAATCAAGTTCTGTTTGACACTGACACTGGTGTCATCTTCAGAGATCAGTGATCAATGGCCAGGTCTCCAATAGCCCCATCTCCTTCCACTTTGATAGGCAGTGGGCTTCCAAAATGTAAGAATTTGTTTGAAACTTTCTAGTATTAGGAAAATTGTATCCTGCTTTCCTTCCTCTTCCTATTTCCCCACGAGTTGACATTGAGTAGAAAGGACTGAGAGGTGTGATTATCTTGGTCTTCATTTCACTTCTCTTGTCTGTTCTCAACCCCTGCTTCGGCTCTAGTTGATTCCACAGTGACCCTCGTTTAAGGAAGGTCATTCTTTTGAAACTTACTGGTTTTCTTCACACTGCCCTTGAAATGGTCACAGGGACACTGCTTCTTTGGCAGCCCGGGCACTGTCATGAGTTTTCTTTTAGGAGCTCTCAGGAACCAGTCTGAAATAACAGGGTTGCTGCTTAGACGGGAAGATTAATGTGTTTCAGAGTAGGGAGTAGGGCAGGGCTTTACTTGCCATCTTTCTTGCCTTCCAGTTTATTACACTGCAGTGGGGGCAGGGAAAAGAGTCAACACAGAACTGTAGAGATACCCATTTACGTGAACACCAGGATTTCTGACTTGTTTTGCCTGACCTGTATTGGCAAGAATTTGATGGCAGGTTTGGAGGAGGCATGAGGATATCATTAAGGAGACCAAAAAGTGAAGAAAAGATCTAGGTGTCTGCCTTGGCCAAGCATTTTGCCTAATTTCAGTCTTATTTATGAATATAACAAGGTTGAAAACAAGATCCAGGAAATTTTTGGAAGGCAGCCCTGGGTTCTTGGGGAAAAGCGTAAGGGGGAAGTGGCAGCCAGAGATTCAGCCAGCTCCCCCTGAACCTTGGGGGTTCAGCTCTTGCCTGAGACTCAAGAAGACAAGAGTTGGTGCTGCATGCGGTGGGCTGGTGGAGAGGGCAGTGGGTGAAGTCATCCTAGAAGATATCTGCATTGGCGTCAGGGGGACTCAGGGGAGAGCTGGATTGTGACCTGTATACTGCTATTGTTGATACTGACCTTTGCACTCACATTCTTGGCTGCCTTCTTGGAGCCACCTCCTAGGAGCCTGGCGTTGGTCCCGATGGCCTCTGGCGACCCCTGGTGGAAGGAAACTGGTCACTTCCAGGCACTGGAAAGGGAAGGGACCAACAGAAATGCTCCCCCAGCATTGTGCTACCTAGTGGAGTTTTTCCCTTCCTTTTTAGTCAGGGATCCTAGGGTACTTCGAGAGATGACTATTTTAAATGGATAAGGAAATGAGGTTTAAAATCTGGAAAGCGGGGCGCCTGGGTGGCTTGGTCGGTTAAGCGTCCGACTTCGGCTCAGGTCATGATCTCACCGTCCGTGAGTTCTAGCCCCACGTTGGGCTCTGTGCTGACAGCTCAGAGCCTGGAGCCTGTTTCAGATTCTGTGTCTCCCTCTCTCTCTGCCCCTCCCCTGTTCATGCTCTGTCTCTCTCTGTCTCAAAAATAAATAAACGTTAAAAAAAATTTAAAAAAAATAAAATAAAATCTGGAAAGCTTAGCTGGAGGTAGGTGGAAAAAGAATGGCTTCTGGATGGAAAAAAGGACAAAAGGTGGGCGTTTAATTAAGACCTGACAATATACTCCCCACCCCAACATGCATTAAAATTCTCATGACTTAAGGAATGAGAACAAAGAGCAGATTATTATATAAACTAGTTGGGATCTTCACCTGACCTTTAAGTTCCCTGTATTTGAATCCATAATCCCAGTTCAGCTATAAGAGGATGGTATTTACCTTTGTGCCTCTGGAACAAATCCATTACTCTTTTGGCCTCTAGTCAAGTTTGTCTTATCACCTGATGCTGTCTTACTCCAATTTTGTGATACTTAAAATACTTTTATGACTATCAAGGATGGTGGATTGTAGACTTGAGATTCTGGAGCTAGAACTGGGCCCGGATGATGCTTGTCTGTACAGTAGTTTCTGATATTTCCTATAAGAATTAATTATGCCTTCACATGGTTCCCCGTTGTATCTGAATGCAGCTCTCTTAATGCACAGTTATACAATATAGTTTGTTGTTTGAAATCTGTTGTGGACTGAATCGTGTCCACACACCCCCACCCAATTCATGTTGAAACCCTAACTCCTGGTACATACCTCAGTATGACTGTATTTGAAGACAGGGTCTTTAGAGATGATTGAGTTAAAATGAGGTCATTAGGATGGGTCATAATTCAGTCCGACTGGAGTCCTTACAAGAAGAAGAGATTTGGGCAAAGAGACACCAGAGATATATGTGCACAGAGGAAAGATCATGTGAGGGTATAGCAAGAGGGTGGCCATCTGTGAGCAAGAAAAAAGGCCTCAAAAGAAACTAAACTTGTTGACATCTTGATCTTGGACTTCTGGTCTCCAGAACTGTGAGGAAATAAATTTCTGTTGTTTAAGCCACCCATTCTGTGCCATTTTGTTATGGTTGCCCTAGCAAACTAAAAATCTTTCTCTGACACCAGACTCTGAACCAGTGGCTCAGTAGTCATTCAGCTACATACAGCTGACAGATGGTAGGCACTTGGTAAATGTTTGTTAATGAGTGAATGAACAAGTTGTCTAGAGAGGGCCCTCAGAGATCATCTGGTTCAATCCAGGTCTCTTTCCCAGACTTGTGCCCTTTCTGCCACACAGATGGAAGGTGTTGCATCATTTCCCCACGTGCTAGTTTTCAAATGTTCTCATGTTCTGTTTTGAGTGCTGTTAAAATAATTTAAACAAGCAAACATAGCCCCTGCCATCTAAACTTTTCTAGTATTTTACTCTCATGTGACCTTTACTTGTAGTTGCAGAGGAAAGCCACAGAATATTAGAGTCAGAAGGAATTTTGGAGATTATTTAGTTGGATCCCTTTATTGAGAAGTTTTTCTACCTTAAATGTAATATACCTATTTTAGAGATGATTTGGAAGGTACAAATAAAGAAATCTTTACTTTTATCATCTGGGTGTATTTTGGTGTGTTTCCTATATATGATTTTCTTTATACAGTGATAACCATAGTATGTGAACACGTTTTTTTTTGGGTTTTTTTTTTTTGGTTCATCTTATAAGCATGTTGCTATGTCATCTCCATAATGGACATTTTTATTCACTTTTTTAAAAAGTAGTCTCTACACCCAACGTGGGGCTCGAACTCGTGACCCCGAGATCAGGAGTCACATGCTCCACTGACTGAGCCATCCAGGCACCCCCATAACAGACATTAAAAAAATTTTTCTTAATGTTTATTTATTTTTGAGAGAGAGAGAGAGAGAGAGAGAGACAGAGTGTGAGCAGGGGAGGAACAGAGAGAGGGAGACACAGAATCCGAAGCAGGTTCCAGGCTCCCAGCTGTCACCACAGAGCCCAATGCAGGGCTCGAACCCATGAACTGTGAGATCATGACCTGAGCCAAAGTCGGATGCTTAACTAACTGAGCCACCCAGGGGCCCCCATAACAGACATTTTTAATGACTGCATAACATTCCCAACTAGTGTGTGTGCTCCACATTATTTAACTGTTTGTCCATTGCTGAATATTCAGATTGTTTATTTTTGGATATTGATAAATTCTTCCTGTTTGTTACTGTTTTCCAAATGTTAGATTATTGTCTTGGGCAAGATTTCCCAAAGTGGAATTACTGGGTCAAGAGTTAAGAACAGTTTTATGTTGCCTGATATTATTACTAAGTTGCTTTTATTTTTTTTTATTTTATTTAAAAAAAAATTTTTTTTAAACGTTTATTTATTTTTTGGGGACAGAGAGAGACAGAGCATGAACGGGGGAGGGGCAGAGAGAGAGGGAGACACAGAATCGGAAACAGGCTCCAGGCTCTGAGCCATCAGCCCAGAGCCTGACGCGGGGCTCGAACTCACGGACCGCGAGATCGTGACCTGGCTGAAGTCGGACGCTCAACCGACTGCGCCACCCAGGCGCCCCCTAAGTTGCTTTTAAAAGGGCTTCATGAATTAACTAAATCACTGTCTGCCTTTTTTTTTTTCAGTTGAGAAAACTGAGGTCCAGAGAGAACAAATGGAATGCCCAAGTTCACAAAGGTAATGGGGATACATCTGAAGCTAAAACCCAGGTCCAAGTTTCTTAGTCTGTTGTTCTTTCTGCAGCCTTTAGAATCCTAATTCCACGGTGTGACTTAAAATGAAGCTGCATGTTACTATAGTATTATGTCTCCCAAACCTCAGACATTTCTGGATCACCTTTATAATTTTTGCTGTAGCTTGTACCACCTCTACTGTTATTTGCCTCATACTTTTTCTTTAAGTACATTTAATTTACAAAACAGCTTCATCCTATGCAGTATTATCTGTGAGGTTATGGGTTTGGTACATATGTAGATTTTTTTCTAACATGCATTAACATAAACGTGTAACTATTAAAGTAAAAGCTAATTTATGCCCTACCTAAAATCAATTTTGGCAAATACTGATATAGGTGAATAAGCATCAATTTTACATGATCTGGGATCAACAACTTTCTCTGTCACTTAGCTTCTTTGATCTTTGGTTCTCTGGCTTGTAAAATGAGGATCATTGTGTCCATCTTGCAGAGTTAGGAATAAATGAGCTACTAGTGGTGCTCGATGCCCAGTGCCCAAGTAGGTGTTCAGTATATGACGATTATTGTGGTGGTTATTATTGTGGACTTCTATCACTGAGTCCCAAAGAGTGTCTATGCTAGAATGTTAGGTTTGTTGTTTTCTGGTGACCTGTATGTGAAAAGAAGTTACTTATTACACTTGTTAGGACTTGGTGGTAGATCTGTCATTATTTTGACTTCCCAGTTCCACTACATATTAGCTTTATTATTTTGGATAAATTGCATAACTCCTATGTCCCATTTACCTAATTTGTAAAACGGGATTTATAATAGTCCATTTGTGTGTGTATGCATGCATCTGTTTCCTAACTTTGTCCACTAGAGGGCCTAGAAGCACTCGCACCTAGTAGCCATGGGCAATACTTTAGTACTCATGGTTTGTGAGGACTATTCTCCAATGAAAGGAACCAGGGCTCCTTGGAGAAATGGCTGATTCCAAGGCGGGCCAGGGAAGTACAAGATAAGCCTGGAACATCTTGTGGTATCAGAAAGTCCAGAACTGCTAAAAAATGATATGTCAAAAAGACACAGAAGCCTGCTTGAAGGAGGTCTCAATGGTCAATTTTGAGACAATATGAACAACACAATAAATAATGGTAGCAATGGGTTATAATCCATAAATGTCCATGAGTCTTTACTCATATAAATAAATAATTCAAGGGGTGCCTGGGTGGCTCAGTCAGTTAAGCCTCTGACTTGGCTCATGTCATGATCTCATGGTTAGTGAGTTCGAGCCTTGCATTGGGCTCTCAGCTGTCAGCACAGACCCACTTTGGATCCTCTGTCTCCCTCTGTCTCGCCCCTCCCCCACTGTCTCTCAAAAATGTATAAACATTAAAAAATAAATTAAAAATTCAATAAATAAATGGGAGAGAAGGAACAGCTTTTTTTTTTTTTTTAAGTTTATTTATTTTGAGAGAGAGAGAGGGACAGAATCTCAAGCAGGGAGAGAATCTCACGGTACATGGGGATCGAGCCCCGAGCTGAGACCAAGAGTCGGACGCTCAACTGACTGAGCCACCCAGGTGCCTGGAGCAGCTTTTTCTTATAGAATTCCAGTTAATAAATATGGAAGGAATGATGGAAATAGGAAATCATCATTTGGCTAATACCATACTAACACTTGTTGAAGGTGGGTGGGAATCCTCAATGGATTTTAAAAATTAATGGGCAAAAGTATGATGAGAAGAAACAGGCTATTTGCATAGTCTTAAAGTATCTCTCCACAAGATACTTATTAATTACAGTGGGAAAACCAGTAATTTTACACTAGAGAAACCTGGCAGACACCACCTTAACCAAGTGTTCAAAATTAACATCAGTAGTTGGGAATTCAGTATTACGGGCCGTCTGCTGTGATGCATGGAGAAGGCACACATTACTTTTGTGGTATTCTTACCAGAAATGCATAATCTGAATTTAATCAAGAAGAAACATCAAGCAAACCCAACTTGAGGGACTTTCTACAAAATAACTGACCAGTACTCTAAAACTGTCAAAATCATGAAAGACAAGGAAGGCTGAGAAACTACCGTAGTTTGGGGGAAATCAAAGGAGATGTGATAACTTTATTTAGTGTAGCATCCTGGATTGGACCAAAAAGAGACATTAATGGGATGATTAGCAAAATCTAAATATTAGTACATTAGTTAATAGTATTATATCAATGCCTATTTCCTGGTTTTGATCATCATATTATGGTGTTGTAAGATGTTATTTGAAAAAAAACTGGATGAAGCATATATTGGAACTCTGATTATTTTTATCTATTTTTTTAAGTCTGAAAAATGAAACATTAATTAAAAAATATATTAGATTTCTGTGAGGACACAATGAGGCAATGTGTGTGAAGTGTTTAAATATTACCTGCCACATAGGATTGCTTAATACATTTTGGCTATTATTGTAGGTAATTTTATAGTTAATAATGATATTGTGAGTAATTAATCTATTATTATAAGTGATTTGTTTCCTAACATTTTCATATATTCTTATCTGTTCTCCTCCCTTTCTGTGAAAAACACACTGTACATGTATGTGGTTATTTTGAGATAAAGTAAGATCAGATTTTATTTTGAGAATTTTTTTGGCAGGGGAAGGTGGGGGGGGGGGTGTCATTTCTTCTAGCCAGACTTGGGTGCTGCAAAACTCCTTGGCAGGGTTACACGAATTTGAGCCGGATGTGTCTGTAATAGCACCACCTGGTGGCACAGAAAACTTTCCCCAAATTCATTGCCATTGTGCTTTAGGAGCTACTGTAGGAATTTTACTCAGTCCATTTATTGAATCCTTGCTAGGTACACATTACAGATAATATTCACAACAATGATATATTATAAGTAGCATTTTACTCCTTTTAAGATGATAAAACAGGCTCCAGAAAGCGAAGCAGCTTGTCTAGGGTTCAAAATAAGTGGTGGAGCCAGGATTCAGATCTAGGTTCTCTGGGCTTCAAGGCTGAGTTTACAGGTCCAGGTAAGTCTGAACGCGTAGCCAGGTTTGAGAACTATTGCTATAGAGCAACTATTGCTGAGAGCAGCACTCTCAGCTGGGGAGTAGTTTTCCCCTCCAGGGGACAATCGGCAATGTCTGGAGTTAACTCTGGCTGTCTTAATTGGGGACAGAGGTGAAGAGGCTGCTATTGTCATATAGTTGGTAGAGACCACACAGATGCTACCCGAACATCTTACAATGCACATACGTTCTACACCCTACAACACAAAATAACACCCTGCCCTAAAGCGCTGTCCAGCCCCAAATGTCAACAGAGCTGCTATCAAATCCAGGTGTAGAGTCTTTAAAGGCAACACTTTGAACTTAGAAACCTGAGCATTTTATTCTTTTTTTGTTTTTATGTTTTATTTATTTAAGTAATCTCTATATCCAATGCGGGGTTTAAGCTCATGACCTTGAGATCAAGAGTTGCATGCTCCTCTGACCGAGACAGCTAGGTGCCCCATGAGCATTTTATTCTTTCACTTAGCAAATATTTACTAAATATTATGCTGGATAGTGTGACGGATATGGAGACAATATACCAGATTGTGCCACCAAGGAGGTTACAGTCTAGAAGGGCAGGGGGGTGAAGGTAGGAAAGGCACAGCAACACCTTCAGTATAAGACGGTATGTGGCAAGTGCAAAGAGAGAGTCAAGTTTAGGCCAGGCACATTCACAGGACAGAGAGCTCACATCTGGTCTTGAGAGGAATCAGGGAGGCCGTGAGGAGGAGGTGGATTCTGAGCTAAGAGTATGAACAAAGTCAAACTAGTAGGAAGGCATAAGAGCTGTTCAGGGAACAGCCAACAGTCTAGTTTAGGTGGAGCCTAGAGTACTTGTTAGTGAGTGGAGGGGTGGATTGGGAAAGGCAGGTTGTGGTTAGAGCTTTGAATCAAGGCTGAGGACTCTAACCTTGGTGTCTGTTGCAATGATGGAAAAGCCTTCCCTTCCAGACTGGTGGTCTAGGCCCTGATGCTATGGGCCCAGCACCTTCCAGAGAGCTCTCTCTACAAGGGAGGGAAAGTTTGAAATTGGGGTGGACTGAGGTAAACTTCTTATTTTAAGGACCAAGTTGATGATAAGTATGCAGCAAAGCTATCTTTCTCAAAGTAGCCTTTGGGGAGATGGTTCTCTCGAGTAGAAACATATATGGGATGAGCTTTCTTCTGCACAGTTGTTCTGCTAAGGGCTAGGCACTTGAGATGTAGTGAAAGCTGGAGCCTATTTGGAACCCTTAACCTAAGACCTGCTTCCCAAGAGATGAGCTTAGTATGGCTAAAACTTCCAATGTGAATGCTGTCTGGTAATATGATTTTTCTAGTTTATTACTTTATCATTAAATAGCGTTAAAAATTGTTGGTGGCATATCTGGTGCACTATAAAAGAATATAAGCAAGGACTTCTCTCTTCCTCAAATGTACAGTTGCCTTCAACACCTTTACTCCACCATCACCAAGACTGGCTCTTCTGGAAAGGGATTAGAGGGAGAAGGCAAGGGAACAAATCTTTTAAATTTTTTAAATGTTTATTTTTTGAGAGAGAGAGAGACAGAAACAGAGCATGAGCAGGGGAGGGGCAGAGAGAGAGGGAGACACAGAATCGAAAGCAGGCTCCAGGCTCTGAGCTGTCAGCACAGAGCCTGACGCGGGGCTCTAACTCACAAGCTGCGAGATCATGACCTGAGCTGAAGTCAGATGCCCAACCGACTCACTCAGACACCCCTCTTTTAATTTTTTTATGTTTATTTTTTAATTTTTTATTAAAAAAGTTTTTTTTTAATGTTTATTTTTGACAGAGAGAGAGAGACAGAACATGAGAGGGGGAGGGGGAGACAGAGAGGAGACACAGAATCCAAAGCAGGCTCCAGGCTCTGAGCTGTCAGCACAGAGCCCATTGCGGGGCTTGAACCCATGAGCCGTGAGATCATGACCTGAGCTAAAGTCAGATGCTTAACCGACTGAGCCATCCAGGTGTCCCAGGGAGCAAATCTTTATTGAGCCAACATGTATATATTTTGCTAGCTACAGTTCAGACATTTTGATACTCTCTCATTTCACTATCACAATACTCTTTGGATGTAAGTATAGTTTTCTCCTGTTTGTAGATGAGGAGGCTAACTTGCCCCAAATCCCTATGGCTGGAAGGGGCTACATTTTTAAAAAAATTTTTTAATGTTTATTTATTTTTGAGAGACAGAGAGAGGGAGAGAGTGTGAGCAGAGGAGGGGCAGATAGAGAGGGAGACACAGAATCCAAAGCAGGCTCCAGGCTCCGAGCTATTAGCACAGAGCCCGATGTGGGGCTCGAACTCAGGAACCGTGAGATCATGACCTGAG